ACAGTTTAAAACCACAGGAGAAACATTGTCTAGAAATCTCTAGCTATAATAATAAGGCCTTTGAAGAGACAGATTTGGGGTTTCTTACAAGCACTGAGGTAAATCGCTGTTCCGACAGGCGCAATAATTTTTAAATTATTTGCGGGACGTGTGTCTGCAAAATTGATTTAAAATATTATGAACTGCAGTTTTTTTTTAGTTAAACTTAACACTTACATAGTTGTCTGCAGTGTGTTAGTGAACAAGGGGGCTGAGAGACTTGCGTCCTCCAGCTGTGGAGAGAGAGAACCTGCTGCTCGCGGTTTTTCTCTTCTCACTCTAGTGCGCACAAAATCACAATGGAATAAAGAAGTTTGCTTCACAGAAAACGTTTAAAATGACTGCCACCTTCTCCACCATAATCTGTAGTGGAATTAGCTTAGTTTATGAATGTTAATGGTCAGTAATAACGATTTATTATTACTTATTAATATTCTGAATTAACTTTATTGTTAATGTGAATAAATAAATATAACAAGACCCCGCCAGCTCGTCTGAGCGGACTCTGTACTGATTTATTCATTTAGAAAGGGAATTATAACTGCTCCTTGTGAAGTAGAATAATCATTTACAAGTTTTGCAAAACGTAATATCAGCTTGTAGTAAAATCAATCGTTTAAGTGACTTTTTCAGTGAGGCAAATAAAACATGTGATTTTGTGTGGTTAAGTAGTCTAACATATAACAACAAACATACAAAACATAACAACAAACATCGAACAAAAAGCAAGCGAGGAAGTAATGAGTTTAGATGAAAGAATAGCAAATCTAGCTCAGTTCCACACAACTATCCAGGACTACCAAGATAAAAAAAAAAAACCTTTTTTATAAGGGACACAGCTTAACGCATAACTAAATACGTGGATTTAACATTAGTGGGTATTTCTTGGTCTCTCTTTCTGCGAGTTTCTCTGATGCGCTGGAGGATGAAGTCCTTGATGCGTGGAGCTTGCGATGAGAATGGAGGGTACGCAAGGTGCAAATTTCAAACTTAGTATAGTTTGGCGGAAAAATAAGAAATCGTGGACTCCAGTGAGGCACGCGCGTGTAAAGAAATGCGGTCTGCCCCCTCATAGGGGACACCTCTGGAGAGCTTCTTTCGGAGATCTTTCTGTGCAGAGCTTTGAGCGTAAATCGGTTTTAATGTAAGTTAATGAGAGCGTAAGTCTTGGGTCAAAAAGATTTAAATGGCTCCGCCCACTCGTTGGCAAAGAATAAAGTGAATAAGGCTAGATGTTTACTTTCTCTTGTTTATTTATTTGTTTGGTGCATGTACTCGTGTGCGATCGTAAAACACTCTGCCTCTCCTTTCATTCTGCCCCGAAGCCCCAGTTGGCCCTCTTTGGCCCAAGGTATTTGGCGGGCCGAAAAAGGCTGGCCCCAAGATTTGGCCCGATTAGGCTCCGGAAGTGACAGTGGAAACGCGATTGGCCTTGGCTCGCTTGCTTTAGGCGCGATAGTGGAAACGCGGCTATTGAGACCAACTCGTTTTTGACTTGTTGCAAAGACCATTTGCTGTTGCATATCCAGCCATCAAAATCACCAAATATTTCTTTAAAAAATGTATTACTCTAATAACAAAAACATTTTAAGTAATGATTTATTGAATCATTGAATGAAAGGTGTTTTTGTTTTCAAAATTATAATTTTAAAGTAAAAGACTAAAGTAAAGACTAAAGCTTGATTTATACTTTTGGGTCAAGTGCACATGGATGGTCTGGCACAGCCTTCACACAATTGCACACCCTTTGCCACGAAGAAACTCAATAAAAAGGAACATAGAAACTCCATGACCAGCTACCTTTTCGAAAGTGTTATTGTCAGAGTAACTCAAATAGAACACTAAATTATAAATGCATGGCTACGTGCTTGGTATGTGGCATGGGTTACGACCATCACTCAACGTAGAAGTATAATTCAGCTTTAAACCCCCTCAGCATGAAATTTTAGAACTGCCCCTAGACAGTTGTTTAATTTGAGTTGTTTCACATTATACTTTCTTGTTGTGAAGCATTCATAATAAATTCATGTTACTGTTAATGCAAAATTGGTTGTTTTCTGATCTGGATTTCATTTTTATATTATAATTTAATAAATTTATGCATCTACAATTTATTTGGTTTGGGTGCTGTGGAAAAAAAGCATGCTTTGAAAAAGTTTTGGAACCAATGGTCTTGGTAATCGACAAGACCTACTTTCTTTTGGACTTGTATAAAAAATGACCTGCATCTGAAAAATTCTCAAATGACCCTCATTTGAAACTTTCAATAAAACATTTTTGCAATAATGTAGCCTGAGGCACGTTTCCAGATCATCTGGGTTGGAAATAGTGGTTTGCTGGAGTCAAAAATATGTACTTCTGAGCTCTCAAAAGCTACTTTATCAGACACTAAAAGACTATAAAAAAATGAAAGTGACATTGAAACTTTTCTAAAGATGACCAGGGCTCGAAATTGCGACCATTTTAGTCGCATATGCGCCCGAAAATTAATCTATGCGACCTCATAATATATATGGGAGCATTAGTGCGACTGCAGATAATGGTTGTAGTGCGACCTGTTTTGATTTTTTCTAAAAACGTGCTAAATCGCATTAGTATGGTGTAGGGTAGGGATGCACAATATATCGGAGGCCATATCGTTATCGGCTGATAAATGCTTTTTTTAAGATTATCGTTATCAATCCAATGGCTATATTAGGCCGATGTCTTTAAGCCGATAAATTACGTAATTGTTGCCGCGCACGTGTGGGCAGAACATGTTCAGACTTGTTCATGGATCTCTCCTCACTTTAATTATTCCTTCAAAGTCCATCCTTTCTTCACGTGGTATTGCTGTGCGTTAATAACTCAGTAAGTAACCATTATCCTTATGATTGTAGATATGTTTTGGAGTTAGCTACCCAACACACACACACACACACACACATATATATATATATATATATATATATATATATGTGTGTGTGTGTGTGTGTGTGTGTGTGTGTGTGTGTGTGTGTATATATATATATATATATATATATATATATATATATATATATATATATATATGTGTGTGTGTGTGTGTGTGTGTGTGTGTGTGTGTGTATATATATATATATATATATATATATATATGTGTGTGTGTGTGTGTGTATATATATATATATATATATATATGTGTATATATATATATATATATATATATATATATATATATATATATATATATATATATGTAATCTCCCATTAAAGCAATGTTATTGTAAAAAATATAATTAAACCATATTAACAAAAATAACAAAGCAAAAGAAAGCAGGTGAAACATACTGTGTTTACATACCGTAAAAAAGGATGATCACATGCACACGGTTAATATAGGTTTGTTAATCTGTTTAAAGATAAATTCAAATGAAAGCAGTGACTGCTGCTGCTTACAAAAGAAAATGTTTTTTTTTTTTTTAAATCTTGAGCTCTCGAAAGCTTCAAGACTGTGTGTGCACGATCATCGCTCTTTGTCCAGTCTATTTCAAAGGGAACCGATCGCACCAGTTGTGCTTCCTCTAGGCAAGGGATTCGCGCAAGAAAACGGGAGTGCGCGTGCTTTTTAACAGTCGCGCGCATCACATCACCTGTGCGTGCGAGTGATCATCCTCTCGTTTAGTATTTACCTTCTTTTTTGCTGTTTTGCTCGCGCAGTTATTTTTGTCAGTCGAGCTGCTTCTCGATTCTAAGATCACATTTGCACGAATATAGGGCCATGCTTATTGTCGAACCCTGCTTTTAAGAAAACTACAACTTAAAAATGATTTCCAACCAGCCAAAATGGCAAGTGGAGGGGTCTCTCTAACCCGCCAGAGCTGAAATCTACCCGCATCTGGCAGGTGTTAATGTAAAGCCCTGTGTTTGTATATATGTGTGTGTGTGTGTGTGTATATATATATATATATATATATATATATATATATATATATATATATATATATCTATATATATATATATATATCTATATCCAGCAGAAAAAAGTAACAACAACTTAGTGACAATAGGACAGACCTTGTTTATTTCTAAGAAAATGCTTTTTAGGTACACATTGTTTGATGATTTTATGAGAAGTCTAAAATATGATCCATGATGCAACAAAAATTCAGTTTTACATAAATATTACTGACTGAGGTTCTTGTTGCAGTGTACAGTGAAGCTACAGTTTAAAATCAGAAATGCACATAATAATAATATAATATCATTAGTAATAATAATATTATAATAGTTAATGATTATGATGCACCCTTTTTTAAAGAGGATTTAGATTAATTTACTAATTTCTACATCCAATTCTGCTGTAGTGTCAAGTAAAAAAGACGATAACTCAAACCCGATAGAGGGCTCTCAAGATGAACGGATCAATTCTCTTTACAGCTCTAAACGCATATGATTGGCCTGAATAACTCAAACCCGATAGAGGACTTGAGAGATGAACGGATCAATTATTTTTTCGGTTCTAAACACAAATGATTGGCTTCTGCCTTTCCTGCATAAATGACTCAAAGGACTTAAAATGAACGATACCACCTGCACAAATCTGCGCATGCGCAGATAAACGAATCACTTCCTGCGAGTACTCATAGTTCTCGGGTCATATTGAAAATTCGTTCAAAATGTATGAATCGTTCAAGAACGACCCATCACTACTGCACAGTGACCAGAGGGATTTTGAGACTTTTTTTTTTTTTTTTTGCTGAGTAGTTGCCAGGTCACAATGTGATGCTGTTGTAGGAAAACATTTTCTGACTTGCTCCTCCAAAATATGTCAAAGTGGCTCAATAATTTATAGATAATGAATATGTACCTTGCATTCTTAGATGCTGTATTTATTTCGAAGTTGAATCAGGCTGTTTGTACCTTGATTTTTTTTTTTTTATATCTGACATTAATGATGTTTATATAAAAACTTACTTTTATTTGTTTTGCTTATATTCAAGGCTTGCTCTTGCAAGTTTGAACAAATACTCAGAGGCTGTGAGCTATTACAAGAAAGCACTGGAACTGGACCCTGACAATGACACCTACAAAGTCAACCTTCAAGTTGCAGAACAGAAGGTTAAGGAAACACAGCCAAGCACAGTAGGTCTAAAATAACCACTCTGGTATCAAGCTGTTTTTGCCATTTTGCTGGAAAAATAAGCTTTTTAATTTATGGTTCATGTGTTTGTCTTTGTTAGGCAGGGGGGTTGGGAGGAGTCGATCTGGCTGGTTTGCTGAGTAACCCTGGGTTCATGAATATGGTGAGTATATCCTAGATTGGTGTGGATATATCTTTGTGGTCGTTTACACTTGGCCACTTTGTGTTTTTTTGTTTTCTTTTTTGTTTTGATTTTTCTGAATGGTTAGTTTTCCAACCCTAAAATGGGCAGGTGTAAATGGCTTTCAAAATTCAATCAAGATGGGTATAAATCTGGTGGCTCAAACCACTTCAGGAGATGGTCTGGGATGGATTCCAGATGAAACTGGACCGGTTGAATAACCTGTTTACACCTGGTCACTTCATGCATTTGTTTTGAAATTAGAAAGCTGATCTGATTTGTAAAAATCTGATTTTCCATTTGCACTTGAGCACATCAAAGAATCTCCATTAAATCGATATGATTTCGAGCTTCAAATTCAATAACCAGATGCATTTTAGACCTGTCCGATTTCATCTGGAGGCCACCTCCTCAACTTAGATTTTATTCACAGATGATTAAGATTGGAGTATGCACTGTGAATCTGATGCTTCTTAAAGTTCTCCATGAAAAGATCCTTGCACAGAAGCATTTAAAAAGAGCTTAAAATTGCCAGGTTCCCCAGAGACTGACTGAGACATGCAAACAGAGAGCATGTTTTTTTTTACTAGGCAGAACTAGCAGTTGAAAGGTTAGCGCTGATGTACTAACATCTGCATTTTAATATTATGTTAAACACAACATGATTTTTTCAGAAGACCGATGGGTAAAATAATATGTTAAGCTTTACAAAGTCGTCGAGAGAAAATTAATAAGAAAACTAATTGTAGAAAATGGTTAGATCATCACATAGGAATGTATAGTCTTATGATAATACCGACACACACAATGGATTGGTAGTCCCTGGCAGTGATGCACCAATCTAGCACAAGAATTAGGTCCAGGGAATGTGATGATATTGCAGCCCAAACCATCACTAATCCACCCCCATGCTTCTATCTGTGCATCCAACAGTCTGGGTGGTATGCTTTTTTGAGACTTCTTTACACCATTCACAGTTACTCCTATTGGATTGGTTCAAACTCCTTGGTAGTATACTGACATAACCCTGGATATGGTGGCTCTTGATATATCATTAAGCCTCGCTGTCTTGGTCACAGATGCAGTAGTGATCTACAATGTGTTCTCTTTTGAACTCTGATATAGGGCATGGACTGATTGCTGTTATCAACAAAAAATTTACAGGTGTTTATTAAGAAATTTTGCAGGAAAACTTTAGACCATCTGTTCTCTAACTGAAGCTTAACAAAGGAAGGTTGATGCAACAGGAAAAATACCCAAAGCATAGAATTAAATCAACAACACAATGTCCTCAACAAAAGAAAAAACATTGTCCCAATCAGAGACCTTGGGCCCTATTATACACCCGACGCAATTGTTGTTTGCTAGTTTTAGCTTGACGCAAAAGTCATTTTCATGTTTTGCACCACGCTGTTTAAATAGCAAATGCATTTGCGCTCATACGTGCGCCCATAGGCGTTCTGGTCTAAAAAGGGAGGTGTGTTAAAATGCGTTGCTGGCATGTTGCTATTTTGAGGAACTGTAATAGACTGCACAATTGACCAGATCAAAGCAGGTCTAAAGTCCAGCGCAGAGCTTTGCGCCTCGTTTAAACATTGCTTAATACACATGGGATGTACAGCAATACGCAAATATCTTTACAAATGAAAAAGAATTTAAGGATTAATATATTACAAAAATTTGTTTTTTTAGCCCACATAAATATAAAAACCACTGCCTCCATGCCTTCATCTCAGGGGGCTTTTCTAGTTTATTCATGACAATTTGCTTTTGTATAATGTTATTGTTAGTATTATTATTTATTATATGCATATTTGTTTTATTAAAAACAAGCTTAATTTTGCCCATCTGTCAGGTTTTAGACCATATGGGGCATTATGTGTATTTGGAAATACCTCAGTTTTTTTACTGTTCTTTTTTTTGTTTGTTTGCTGGAAATTAGACCTGAATTTAGAAATACTTTTGAAACTATTTTTTGTGCTTAAGCTAAATTAATTATGTATAGGCTAATGGATGTCATTGCGTAAAACACGTTTCCCTATCCATGAAATTGAAAGGGAAAGTTAAAGTATGATGAGGCTCATCTCTCATTCTCGTGCTACAGATGCTCTGTTTAAACTGTTTTCTCTCTAGTGAAGCATTCAGTTTTTCTACTGACAAAGTCCGCCATGTAAATAGCAAATGCGCCATGGGGAGACGCAACTGACTCTTAAAGGGAATGGGAGATGAGACTCTAATTGGTTTATTTTCAAAAAACACCTATAAATCATTAAGAGAATAAGCTCAACCCTGTAAGACCATGCGTCATGGCGCAAAGAGGATTTTTCCGTCCTTAAAATAGCAAAACTGGATTTAAACGCCCTTAACTTTACGCCTGGATTATCAAAATAGAGCCCCTTATCTCAACCTATTTGAGATGATTTGGCATGACCTCAAGAGGGCGATCCACACCAGACACCCCAAAAATATTGCTGAACAGAAAAAGCTTTGTTAAGAGAAATGGTTCAAAATCTCTCCGGACCATAGTGTGTTGTCTGATCTGCAACAACCATTGCTGCAAAGAGGAATGGGCAAAAATTCCCAAAGACAGGTGTGCCAAGCTTGTGACGTCATATTCAAAAAGACTTGAGGCTGTAATTGCTGCCAATGGTGCATTAACAAAGGATTGAGCAAAGGCTGTGAATACTTACAGTATGTACTAGTTTTTTTTTCCAAGTTTTTTTATTTTTAATAAATTTGCAACAATAATTTTTTTTTTTTAACATTGCCATTATGGGGTATTGTGTGTGTAGAATTTTGAGGAAATTAATGAATTTAATCCATTTTGGAATAAGTCTGTAACAAAGAAAAAATGTGAAGTTCAATGAATACTTTCCGGAGTGTGTGTGTGTGTGTGTGTGTGTGTGTGTGTGTGTGTGTGTGTGTGTGTGTGTGTGTGTGTGTGTGTGTGTGTGTGTGTGTGTGTGTGTGTGTGTGTGTGTGTGTGTGAGTGTGTGTGCGCGCGTGCGTGTGTGTGTGTGCGTGTGTGTGCGTGCGTGTGCGTGCGTGCGTGTGTGTGCGTGTGTGTGCGTGTGTGTGCGTGTGTGTGCGCGTGTGTGTGCGTGCTAGATACACATCTGATCAAAAGATTCATGAAGTAAACAGGCCCCTAGTTTCTCATCATTAGTGCTTGCTTATGCTCATCACTAACTCTGTGTTACTCTCTTTAGGCATCTAATTTAATGAACAACCCTCAAGTGCAACAACTGTGAGTACACAAAAGCATTTGTCGTATACCTAATTCACACAATTTGCTTAATTCTGTCCATAAAGTTGAGGCAAGGTAAATTCTCTTGAAAAGTTGTTAGAAATGTACTCTTGCATTCAAATTGGTTGAATATGGTTTTAAAAGCATGCAATATTTATTGAGCTTTTGTAGCAATGCAATGCTAACCTGTTATAACCAATGGATCCTTTTGACAAGACTGTTATGAAATGTGTGTTTAATGGTAATCAGCATCTTGAGTCCTTAAAAGATTTATTATTTAATCAATTTAAAAAAGCATGCACATTTATACGTTTTTGTATGTATTATATAATCTTTGCATTAAATGATTAAAAAAAAAAGTTAAATGAACCACAGCAAACTTGAAGTTTCTAACTCAAACTCTCTAGAGCCACCACTTATCCAAAGTTTCACTTATGTTTATTGTTAAAACTTTTGAACCGAATGGGCTATAGACAAAATTCTTTTTAATTATATAAAAACTATACAATATATATTAACTATATATGGATATATAACGTTTTTAAATATACACAAATTCAAAAAGAACCACAGGTCAACAGGGAGATTGCAAAAGACCAGCTTCTGCTTTAAATTGGGCTGACTGAATATCTACTAGTAAATATTTACTATTTCAAAATGTACAGACAAATGTAAAATACAATAAAACACCCTAAATCTGTTAAAATGTGTTGATCTGATAACAGTTGAGTTTTCAGCTAGGTATTATTGGAAGATCGCTAACAGGAACAGTGAACAGCTCTGCCAGAGCTCATCTGAAGCTCATTTTTAGGTCTATTTTACATCATGGCAAAAACACCATTTTGCCTCATTAGGCTGTTTTTGTGTTGAGTTTAAAGTAATCATCCAGAGAACAAGAGAGAGTGCATTACTTCGATCATTTTAATATAGCATATTAATAATGAAATCCAAAAATTGTAGTATAAAATTGAGTTGATTTTAAGTTGTCTCACGGTTGAAAAAAACCCTCTTATAAATGAGACATCACACAAGGTGATTTTTGATTTGCTAAAATTAAAACAATCTCAAATGTAAACATTAGCTCAGTTTTATTATTATGGGAATACATGCAATGTAAAATCATATTCCATTTCACAGTGGTAGCACAATCAGTAGCTGACGTGATCCCTGTCATAGAATTTTATGCTGTCATTCAGCCGTTAGAAATAGAAACCCTTTCTAAAATAGAAATTCCAGGTGATGATTAGGACAAAAACTCCTTTTAACATGAAAAATATATATATATTTTTTGCATGTAGGTAAGACAATGTATTCTCGATAATCAGGCATTTGCAGTGTGTGGAAGGAGAGGGGTTCGGGTAAAAAAAAAAGTGTCTTGCATTTGAAGTGTGTTACCTGCTTTAACCACTGGGTGTGAATCTTGTGTTCAACAGCTTTAATTATAACAGATTTCAGTTCTGCCAACATGACATTGCTTTGTGTCACAAACCTGACAACCTGACATTACTTTATGCCATCAATATCAATTTTAAATTTTGTTCTGTTCCCATGTAGTGTATCAGGTATGATGTCTGGGTCTTACAGTCCCGTAAGTAGTGCCACCTCACCAACAGCTGCTGGAGCAGGAGGTGGTGGTGCCAATGACCTCTCCAGCCTCATACAGGCGTAAGTTTCAACACCATTATTCATTGGTATTTCATAGGTTGCAGTTTTACTTCCTAACTGTTTAATGTTATATTTAGTAGAGATAAACTTTTGTTTTCTGTCATGTGATAGTGGACAGCAGTTTGCACAACAAATGCAACAGCAGAATCCTGAGCTTATTGAACAGCTGAGGAGTCAAATGCGCAGCCGACCTCCCAGTAGTGCTGGCAATGATGAACCCTGACACTCCTCATGGTAATTCATGTCATTTTGATATATTTCAGAAATATTTATATTTCAGATGTTTGTTTGATTTTTAGCTTGTCAGGTATTCTAACAACAGCTTGGTAAAGCTGCATATGAGATTAAATTTTTTTTTTTTACTTTTATTTTATACAGAATTGAACACTACTTCATGGACACATGGAAGATGTGCTACTTTTTTTAAAGATATACCTTGTTCCTACAAGTCTGGAACAAGACCAATTTATCCATCTGTAAAAATAAAATTATAAATTAAAAAATGGGTTCCCACGGCCCATTATACCAAATCAGTATGTACACATATTGTTTTGAAAGTGAAGAAATGTATGATCAAATGAAATGTCACACTACCATTATTTTCTCATATAGTAATCCAGGTTAATTGACTGCAATTGTTACCTCAATGATATAATTCAGTTTTGCTGTTAACACATCAGTGATTCATCTGTCTAGTGACAAGTCTCTGTCTGATCTTATAGGGGTCTTACTGGGAGCATGCAGTCTAAACACTTACAAATGTCGGATTTCAAATATGAATTTGAGGCAAATTGTCATGCTTTATAAATGTTTGCCATGCTTGCAATGAATGAGATTGGACAATTGCCATTGCCCTAATTAATAGCTGTGACTCTTAGTTTGTTCTGATTTCTTTTGAAATAAATTTTTTTTTGTCAATTTTGGAGAACTGCTTTTATAACTGTGCATTTAGTCATCTATATGATTACTATAGTAGTCATTTGAGTTGCAGTAAGGAGCACTGAATGTTTTGTGTATTCACACTAGTAGTGACTTTGCAGCTGCCTGTTGCCTTGGGGATTGAAGTTGCTAGTGGGCGTTCTCACCTTGAGGTTACTAAGGTAATGTTTATGATTATATTAACAGAGAGCGATTGAGTTTACTTGCTGCCGAAAAATAAACATTGTTTATGGAAAACACTAAATATAAACGGAATTAATACATACAATACTTAATTACAAAGATAAACAAGTGAGTGAGTGAGTGAGTGAGTAAGTAAGAGAGAAAAAGTAGTTCCTCGTACGAAAGGATTTTGAGACTGGCTGTGTTCGAAACCGCATACTCAATGACCTTAACCAAATGGACATCTCTATATCTACTCATCCCACCCCGCTAATAGATTATAAAGCAATTGCCATGCAGATTAACATATGTACGTCTGAAAACTTAAATGGGAGAACATCTTATTGAAAGCGTAATAGCTCGTGCCTAAAGAACAAACAAGTTATTACAGAAATTAACCATTTAAGTAAATATTTTTCAAATAAAGCAACTGCAGAACAATCTTTTGTTTAAAAACTGAGAATTGTTTAAATATGAATCTGCAAAATACTTAAGATCATTTAGCAATATGTGTGTACGGACTAGAAGAGCAGAGGAAAAGGATATTATAGCCCACATCTCTTCCATTATAGAGAAAGGGGTGGATAATTTATCAGATGATGACCAACTTGATCTAATAGAATTACAAAACAAATTAGATGAGACTTATAAAAAAATAAATAAAAATAAAGCAGAGGGTGCATTCGTTCTTTCTAGAAAGAAGTGGCTTGAAGAAGGGAAGTTTTTTACAGTACAGTGTTTTACAGTAAATTATACACTTACAACTACTCAGAACAATTAACACTCATTTTTATCATCCTTAAAAAATTCTAAAAATATCTCATTAGAAGATAAGATTTTCTGTGACAAGCCCATAACAATTAAAGAAATAATGGATGCCATCAATCATTTAAAAAAATAATCCCCTGGAACAGTATCAGAGTTTTATTAAACTTTTGCCCCACAGATGGCGCCTTTTTTACGGCATGTATTAAATTGGAGTATTTCCAGTCGCAAATTGCCACCAACTATGAATCAAGGTCTTATCACACTTGTCCCAAAGTCAAATAAAGATCTCTTGTTTATTGATAGTTGGCGACCAAAATGTCTATTAAATAACGATTAGAAAATATTTGCAGCAATTCTTGCTGAGAGATTCAAAGATATATTTGACTCAGTTATTGATCAAACCCAGTCAGGATTTATAAAGAATAGACACATTGCTAACAATATCAGACTAGTTTTGGACATTCTCGATTACTCTCACTTAATATCTGAGAAAAGTTATATATTATTTTAGACTTCTATAAAGCTTGATACCCTTGAAAATAATTTAATTATTCTCAGTCTTAAGAGGTTTGGGTTTGGTCCTTTTTTGTAATGCAATTCAAACTCTAAATAGTAATGCTAACAGCTCAATTAAACTGAAAAATGGGACTTTGCCTAGATTTGATGTAAAAAGGGGCATACGCCAAGGATGTCCCTTTTCTCCCTATTTATTTATACTGGCTGCTGCACAATTATTAGCAGACCATATTAAGCAAATGGATCTTGTAGGCATCAGTGTAGCAGAAAGGGAAGTGATCGTCAGTCAGTTAGCGGATGACACTACTCTCTTTTTAAAAAATAGTGATGAAGTTGCCATAGCTTTAGGAGTAATAAATACATTTTCAGAAGCATCTGGTTTACATCTGAATATTGCCATATGTGAATTATTATCTGTGAAAGATTGTGATGCTCCCTCCATTTGCAATATCCCGGTTAAAGAAAAAGTAGTTTTAGGAATTGTTATAGCCTAAAATTAATCCATACGCTGTAGTGATAATTTTACTCCAATTATAGAAAAAACTCATAAAAAAACTTAATCAGTAGCTTCAAAGAAATATCTCTTTAAATGGAAGAGTGCTACTTACTAAAGCTGAAGGTTTATCCAGATTAATCTATGCTGCTTGGTCTTACAACTAGAAAACATAATTTGTAAAACATAGACAAGTTATTATTTAACTTTGTTTGGAGAAATCGTGCACATTACATTAAAAAAACAGTTGTAATGAACACTTACGAAAATGGAGGACTAAATATTTTAGATTTTAATACATTGAATTGCACCTTTAAAGTAAATTGTATGAAACAATTTTTAAAGTGCCCCACATCAATTTGGAATTATATCCCTAATTATATTTTTTTAACAGCTGGGTGGCTTAAACTTTCTCTCCCTTTGTCATTATAATATTGAGAAGTTACCCGTGAAACTCTCTGCATTTCACAAGCAAATGCTTGGTCTCTTATTTATAAACACAACTTTTCTCCACACTTTTTAAAATTTGAATAATGGCAATATACTCTACAAAAATAAATCCTTATTTCTTTAGAGTTGGTATGAAGAAAAAAAATATATTTTAGTTCATTATCTCTTTAATGAAAATGGTCTTTTGCTATCTTATGAGTTCTTACAGAAGTTTAATTTTCCTGTCTCACCAAAAGAATTCGCCATTGTCTTTGATGCCGTTTCTGCCGGAATTATTACACCGTTAAAGGCTTGAACAGAACTCCATGTATTACACAATCTCTCTGTGATCCATTTGGAACAACAGTGGGTAAAACTTGTCTTGTTTCAAGCTCAACTAACAAAACAAATCCTTTAAATTAATTCACAGATTCTACCCAGTGAGTAGCTATTTAAAAAGATTTAAATTGAATACTAACACAATGTGCGCTTTCTGTAATTCACAAGAAGAAACAACTGTACATTTGTTTTGGTACTGTTCCTACACAAAAATATTTTGGGGTAACTTTTGCAAATTTGTAATTGAGTTATATTCAAATTTTTCTTTGTTTTGGGAAAATGTATTATTTGGTTTTATTGATACAGACAATAGTACAGAGAAAGCGTTCTACTTCATAAATCTTTTACTTTTACTTGCTAAATATCACATCAATAAATGCAAATTCTCCAATAATAAACCGCTTTTTAAGGTATTCATAAAAGAACTGAAACAATACTTTGAAACACTTTCTGGTTCAGGAAACACTAAGGCTAGGAAAACATTATCTTGTCATGCCCTATTTAAAATTCCCATGTAAAAAGCGGTACTTCATTTTGAGATACACTCTTAATATTGTATTTTTATTTAAAGCTTTACTTTTTATGTATCTCTTATTTAACTTATTGTATTTTTTTTCTTCTTTACTGTTTTATCCCCCTGGCATCCTCTATGTTCCTTCTATAGTTCCTAATGTTTCATTATGCTGTATTTTTTTTACAATTTACTGTTTAATAAAAAATAAAAAACTTAAATAAAAAAAGGATGTTACCTCATCCGCCATGTTTACGTTACGTAGCGCAACATATTTAAAGAAATTGCAGGTTTAATGAATCTTAATTTTAAATAGTATATTTATTTAAAAAAAAAGTTCAGATGAATTTATTGTTTGTATTAACATTTTTCATCCACAAGTAGCCTGCTAAAATCTCTTGTTTTCCTGTCTGGTTTTATTATTCAACACAAATATATTTTAACTTTCTCATTGTGTATTTTTGTGCGTATACATCTCACATAATACAAGAAACCCATAACATTTATGTCGTTTTTGTTAATTGTAAACGGTACAACCATGTTTTTCAGAGCCTGTATAAATTAGAAGTTCTTTAATTATTAAGAATTATAACAATCCTATAATAATAATATAAATAACAGGGACAGAAGCACCTTGCATCAGTAACGTGACATCTACCTAGTAGTTTTCAATGCCTTTTTCTTATAGGCTATATATATATAGGGTTCAGATGCAAAAACATTGTGCCATCTGAAATTTCTTTCTAAAATGAGCTTTTTTTTGTCAGCCTCCAATATTTTTGTAGTTATTTCTCTTTAAAAGCAATGCAAAGAACCTATGTTTTGCCACAGCTATGCATTAATATTTGCTAGGCAAATGCAGCCAATGTAAGAACATCTTCATTTTCAGTCAAAATATGAAATAAGGTATACATTATTGGAAAATGATTTCAGTAATGACTATAAAAGGAAACATTAATATATGATTTAAAAAAATGAATACACATGAAACAGATTTATTCAAACTTATTCTACAATCATGTAGAACTACATGTTCTGTTGCATCTCCACACAGCTGGGCTGGTTCTGCCGATGATCAGCAGATCTTTATCTGTGTTTGTCATCATCACCAGCATCATCACTGTTGCAGTCTGACTAAAATGGGGTTGAGACATGAAGCTCTCCATGCCTGAGAAACCCAAAATAAAGAGACCACAGAAACATCTGTCAGGGTCTCGAACACAGCACTAAAGCATCTCCATCATCATCGTCTTCATCATCTCCAGCACACTGCAGCGCTTTTTATCCTCAATGAACACGGCACCAGTCTGAGGACATTTCAGATCGTACAAAACAAACAAGTTATTTAAATAGACTAATATCATTTTGTGTTTGAAAATAAAAATAAATTCCTCATTATCACCTATACAATTGAACAGATAAAACAAATGAATTATGGTTTATCAGTATTATATGTAACGTTAGCTAATATAAACAGTGTTGACAGCAGTGAATTCTACATCAGCACGAACGCATCACTCAGGTGTCTAATGTTGTCATTTGCTGATCTGCAACACTTCTTATACATTTATGTCATACATTTAATAATAGTCTTTTTTTCCTGTAAATTCACGTTTAAAGCATAATGTTATGTGCTTCAAGTTCCTACATAATTATGTTTTAGAGCAAAATGAAACAAACATAACGTTACTATAAAGCATCTTTACTCTTTCGGACTCCAACTCGCAGAAACCACCTGCGCTCATCAACAATGATAACAGCTGACA